TTCTTCTCTTAAGCAAATGTTATGTTTGTAGGTGAAACTTTCGATTGAGAAAGCATTCAAGAGAAGTGTGACGTATAACTTCACATCTGACGTGGCACTTGAAGACATTTTCATGGAGCATGGGAAGAAATACGAGTTCGGAGATATAACTTGGTATCCTTCTAGAAAAACTGCGGTGTACCGTTACGATTTCCGATCACCGGTCAACGTTTCCGGCAACGGAGTCAATGATTTCATTGGTTTTCAGTCCAATCCTATCTTGATCTCTAAAGGGATCCGAGCATTAGGTTAGTTCCTTTTTCCTTATAGTAAACGACTTTGTGTTGCCATACCCGGTTTAGTCCGGTTATTGAAATTTGGATTTGAAAATGTTATAGAGAAGACGCTTGAATCTAGCAAGAACGAGAAGGGAAAATGCAACACGGCGGATACTACGTTGGCCTACAAGAAATTAACCGGAAACGGTCTAAAGAACAATGGTATAATCTTTACCGGATATCCGGTTATCGGTAGGCAAGGCAAGATCCAGGCTTCTGGGTCTTGCCTTTACTCATCTCCGGTTAGAATTGACGTCTCTTGCGCATGGGACCCGAGGTATGATGGTCTTTTTTTCTATGAGACGACCGCGATATTCCCGGTTTCTAGGTTTAGAGACTTTCTCCTCGACGTGAAGAAGCTACGAGACTTGAAACCGGAAAGACTATGCGGGATCGATATCTATAACGGTATACTCATACGTTTCATCAAGGGTTCAAAGGCTTATCTAGGTCAGACAGAGGATTCTGTGGTCGTTGACTATAACTATTACAGAGCCGACGATGCGTTGACTCCGAGATTGAACGAAGATGTGATGGAGGAGATGGAGCAGATGGCGTTTCTCAAACACGGCGCAAAGCCGCATTGGGGGAAGAACAGGAAAGTGGGTTTCTTTGGCGTGAAGCAAAAGTATGGACCTAACTTTGATAAATTCTTGGAAGTTAAGAACAAGTTAGATCCTAAGAAGATGTTCTCCAGTGAATGGTCAGATGAGATTCTGTTTGGAAAAGAAGGTTCCAAGTATGACGGATGTGCCCTTGAAGGGAATTGTGTGTGCTCAGAAGATACACATTGTAGCCCTTCCAAAGGTTACTTTTGTAGACAAGGCCTTGTTTATACACAGGCTAGGGTTTGCAGATTCTCTTCGGCTCAAATTTTAATGGCGTAACTCATGTTTTAATTTATGAAGAATGACATTTTTCTTCTTCTTCTCATAAGTCGTTAATTAAATATAGCATGTGTTTACTACGAGTCTAAGATATTGGAATATTGGATGTACTTAAATTTTGGGATATAGTACTGTTAATATAATATGATTTGCACAGTGGCGGATCCAAAAATGTAGACGTAAATTGTTGCTACATTTTAGCTTATCCGTTGATTGTTATCACTCTTTTTAAATTAGTTGTCTGAACAAAACAAAACAAAAAACATGCAACGCCTTGCTTCCGTTATTGGTAGAATTATAACGGCTTTCAATCCAATATGAAACTCTTTATACTCTTGTATACAGTAGTAAAGGAGTTCTCAGTATTTTCATGTACTTGAGTACTTAACCATTATGTATTATTCAATATCTATATACTTTTTTTGTTGAAAAAAAAATCATAATATACTTCAAGATCAATCAAATCCATCGATGAAGTTCTTACCAGTTGACATAATATATTAATAGTATATAAAAGTCTTGTAAAGTAAACGAATATAAACGTTCCAAAATAAGTTAAAGAATGAGCCAGATCTAATCATCATTTTAAAACTGTGTCATATGAATCTCACGTCGTAAAATGAAAATTATAACAGATCTTTTGTTCAAAACCAGTTTTAATTACCCCTTTCTTGAGGTCTTACATCGATATAAGGCAATTAGCTTCGTTATTTAATGTCTTTACTCTTTGCACGTCCCAACAAAACGGACGTGTAAAAAAAAAACTCTTTACAAGCTTGTTCGAGCTCTCATCTTTGAAACTCAAATGCCTAACTCCTATTAGATTGATGCACTTCCTATTGCAGCCAGCAGCCCAATTATTCAAGATCCTACCCTTATCAAGTAGGTTGAACACTAATTATTCAAGAACCTAACCAACTATTCAAGATCCATACTTAATTAGTGTTCGACTTAGTGGTCAGTTTGTTGATTCCACACTTAGTGTTCAACAAATTCAACTTATTTTCAAGATATTCTTATGAGAATTAAAAGCTTTTCAATTAACTCTTAATATTTCATATATATGTTCTACCATTGTTTTTTACTATGTTTTTAAGGCCTAGAAATTTGGTATGTATATTTTTGCATTTTATTTTATCACTCTTAGCTTTAAAATTGAAGTTGATAAGAAACAAAACTTTTTAATTGACAGAAAACTTGTTTTGCAAAAGTTTTAAATTTGGAGATTTAACTTACGTAATCTTTTGTTAGAGGTTAATTTTTTATAGTCAAAATGAAAGATTTAACTTACGCAGTCTTTTTAGATTTTCCTTGAAGTTTAAATTAAGGAGTTAGCATATTAAAATAATATTTGGTAAGCAAAAAAGGTATAAGTAAAATAATAAGGGGGAATTAGCATGCATGTATGACTATAGAAAAAAAACATATCTAATAATCTAACCAAAATGCACCCATGTGGCCAATTCCTAAGCACTAAATTTAGGGTTTTTAGTTAAATTATCATATAACATTTTTTTTGTTTGGTTATACAAACAATTAACAAGACTAGCAAAAAGGTAATTGGTTCCCCAAAAAAGGTATTCTTTGAAGGAAAAAAATGTTTACCGAAAAAAAAAAGGAGCAAAAACAAGGTCTACTACCAAGGGCAATACAGTAACTTAATAGTTAATACATATGTTATGTACTAGCTGACTATTCCCTACTGTGCTTGAACAAAACACAAGAAAAGATAAGAGATGTGTACCCGCAAAAAAAAAAAAAAAAGAGAGAGGAGATGTGTAAAGTACAAAAGAACAAGAACATGAGGAAGATTCACTTTTAACTGTCTGTCTTATTCTTGATTTCAACAAGAATTGTATCCCTCTCCCTCTGTTTAATCCCTTCAGTATCTGTTGAGTTTGGAAAAAAAAAACCTGTTTCGTTAGAACCGGAGACACACGGATTTTCAACAAAACCAGTTCTACTTCTATCAGATACTGATTAAACTCTGTCTAAGTAACCAAACTTGAGAACAAAATTCTAACTGATGAAACTCTGTTTCCGGCACTAAGTTTGACTGAAAGCAAGTTTTTCTCAAGTCATTGAAGATTAAAGAACAAGAAAAATGTGTAGTTCTCGCAACACATACCTGACCAAATCTCTGACATGTCATGTATTTTCTGTAGCTGGACCAGCAACAGGCTTCTTATTCTGCTTCAATGTGTCCTGCTTACACAAGCTTGGTTTTCTCTTGGAAGCTGCACGTTTTCGGATCTTAAGACTTTCACCTGTTATCATGTAAACATTCCCAGGTTCAGGAATGGTGAAATCAGCCGGGTTTCGATTCACGCAGCACTCAATGGGTCCAGTAGTAACGTTCTTCATCGCCAACGCAGCGGCATTACTGGAACTATCTGCTTTTCTCTTTTGTTTCTTTTCTTTATCCGTCACATGAAACTTCAAAGGGAGCATCATGGAATTCGATGCCCCGAGAAGCTGGAATTTCCCTTGGTCGCTACCGCTTGCAAACACCGGCGCCTTTTCGCGGCTATTGTAAACCGGAGGAGGACCCATTTCTTTTCTCTTGTTTTGCTTCTCTTGATGTTGATGTTGACTCCATGAAGCTTGAGCATTTTGAAATGAAAATGAAGACGTCCCAAGTGGTTGACCGATGGGGAAACCCATGCAGGGAGCCTCGGGCGCGAATCTCTGGCTGAAATCAAAAGGTAGCTGCTTGGTTGGGAAGGGTTGCTTACTAGAGTCCCTTGTTTGAAACTCTGTAAATCCCTTTGACTGGTTAACCGGTGGGAAACGTCTTTCGGTAAACTTAGCGTTTACATGGTGATCAACTGGAGTGTTTGACCTTAGCTGAGGATTCATAAGACTGAGTAGATGCATTGCCGGTATAGAGCTCTCACTCGTAAAGGCGTCCGCTGGTGTATTATTATGACTAGTACCAGCTGCAGCATGTTTGCAGGCAAATGAGAATTCTGAATTAGGCACAGATTTTTGCTTCCCATTTGCGCCGACAAAGTTGAGGTTCCAGTTATTTCCATTGCTGGATGGTGCCTGTGAGGGCATACCTGGCCTTGTTGACTTATCCATATTGAAAGAAACTTGCTTATGATAACCCTGTGGTGGTTGTGTCACGGCAGATGACCAAATAGGAGGATGAGCAGCTTCTCTATACTGATGCGGAACACTCTGGCATGTTTTACAACCGCGTAATACCCGTGATGGGGATGGAGATGGGTTCTGAGTAGCCATAGTTGGTACATTCCCAAGCCACTGGCTGTTCTGACCAGAAAACTGAATGGGGGCAGCTCGGTTTTCTTGAGTAGAAGGAAAGATCCCAAACCGAGGAGGCGCACAAGGCTTGCTTATTGGGAAAAAGTCAAGAGGTTTCTGCTGTTTTCCCATCGGGAAGTGTCCATTGTTTCTAGCATCGTTACCATAAGGGATTGGTAGTCTTGATGTGTTGTTGTCCTCATGTGAGATCCCGTTATCATAGGTTTCATTGAGATCAATCAGTAGACCATTCTTGGACTTGTGTGCCGTTTCTTGTGACGGTTGTTTGTTGCTAACTTCCTCTTCTTTGTCGGGTAGACACCTCTCGTATTGGTTTTTGGCCATGAGCTCAACTATCTCCATGGGAATATCATCGTTATGCTCTTCAGGTATGTTCGCCTTTTTATCGTGGCTTTGGCTTCCGGATGCTCCATGATGTTCTGGGACCATAACTGTCTTCCCCTTTCTGTCAGCACCAGAAGCACCCTGCCAAGTAAACCGATCCCCTTAATTCCTGGTCCAATAACTGAACCACACCAGTTTGAAACAAATAACAATATGCGAAAGCATGGCTATTGAAGAATCTTGATGCTCATATGTGAACAAAAACTCACTCACAAACTGTAATGCAGAGCTTTAAGCTAAAACCATGTAAAAAAACAAATTTTGGACGGTATTTAAAAATGAAAAGATGCAAAGTTTGTACCTTTTGCAGCACAGAAGATAGATTCACAACTTCAGCAGAAGTAGGGGTGTGTTGTTTGAAGTTTGTGAAAGATGATGTATATGTATTGTTGTTGTTGCTTCTGGGGTCAGCAACATCTACTCCACTTCTCAACCATCCAACTGTGTTGGATTTAGAAGACGAACCAAAACAGTTTGTCTCTGCATCTCTTGGCCTGACATGACCATTGTCTTGCAAAGGCGAACAAATGACCAGCTTACCATTAGACTGAGGAGTATATCCTATGAAACATCTTTCTGCAGCCAAACGGTCGTCGCCCACCCTTTTCTCATTCAGCAAATCACGAGTCGATAATTGGGAAACCGAAGGACCATTTCGCGGTTTAACCTGATTTCCTTCATCCATTCCGGTACTAAAACTGATCAGGCCCTTCTTCACGTTATCTATTACAGGCTTCTTTGTCTTCTTCTTGGCTAAACTGAGCTTCTTCTCTGTTTTGTGAGTACTCGGTCGAGGACAAGGAACCGAATCTTGCACAGGAATTGTTAAAGCAGTACTCTTACTGGGAGCTACACCATTCACATGGATGCCTTCTTGTGAAGTTTCACAAGGAAGTGATGATGATGGTACAAACTCATCAACCACTTGAAATCTTCTGTTCTTCTGCTTACCTTTAATTGGATCTCTGTCAAGCCCCTCGCTATCAGTTGATTCACTATCAGAGTCAGAGCTTTTGGAGGCATTTTCAGAAGTTGTTCTTAATTTCTTGTTGACATTATTGTTTTCAGGCAAAACCTTCCTTTTTCTTCCTCTAACAGATTCCCTCTTCGAACCAGAAGACTCTTCTTTTCTGACGTTGTTGTTACTACCACCACTGGTTTTGGTGTTGGCTTTAGCAAGCAAGTCGCTGAGTAGACGAAGTTTGGGATTTTTCCTACGCAGCAATCCACTCTCTGATGATACATTATCGCATTCCATCTGAACACGAGTGCCTTTACGATTCTTGGTTGCTTTACCTTCAACCACACCAGCAATATCAGATGGCCCGAAAGCCGTCACATCCTGATCCACTTTCTGTTTCTCTTTAGATCTTTTGTTGCCTACTTGCTCTGGACTTGCAAGCTTTCTGCTCTTGCTCCTAACAGTAGAAGCATCCTTAGCTCGAGGAAGAGCTTTCTTGAGTAACATAGTAGCTGCAATTTTTTGAGCTTTCAATTATTAGTTTTCTCCATTATATGCTCACAGTTTAATTTGCTTGGCCAGAGGAAAAAATATCTATATCTATACCTGTCTGATGATTTTCCTTCTGAGATCTTTCACGAATTGCATTCTCATTCTCCTCAACAGCATTACCTGAAAAACAAAAATGATAATACAAAATGATTGTGGATTGCTATGAGTTATATATGAAAATAATTACCAGCAGGTGCTGCATGCTTAATTACGTACCTGCAACATGAGTTTTCTGTTCTTTCTCGTGATCAATGACAGTTAGCAAATTCAGTGTGCTTTTACTTGGAATAACCAAAGAGTTTCCATCGAGATTTTTCTCTCCAATGGTTTTTGTGTTTGAATGCAGTCCACAATCTGAAAGCAACAACACACATGCATAAGTTCAAGCAGACCACATCTCTAGCTAAGTATAGATTATACGTAAAACAAAAACAGAAATGCGTTTTAATTTACCACTAGTCTTAGTCTCATCGGTTTTGAGATCTTTGACGCAGCTCGTACAACCCCACCATCTAAACTCTGGAGAAGACAAAGGAAAAGAAAAGCTTTCTTGATCCGCCAAACTAAGACTCTTTTCTGAGAACGGCCAACATATCTTAGGGTCTCTCTCACAGGCTTCAGCTACGAATCGACTGCATTCATTTGCAAGAACAACAAAAACTCGATATTCATATGCATTTGGAAGTGAACATCATGCATATATAAACACATAAAAAGTCAGAAAACTAATATGGAACAAACATAAACAAACTCCTAACATATAAGGTAGACTCACCGTATGGAGAAGTGTTCACATTTTACCATATCAGTCTTGTTGGCAGCATCTGCAAGATCTATGGATATAGAATTGATCTTAATGGGGGATCCCATTGATTTGCTTCAAGGAGATTGTATTTCTATATATGCCTCAGTGATGATTAGCTTCCACCATTAAACCTACAAAAGTTATACACACAATAATATTTCTTAGCATCACAACATAGAAACATCTAACGT